TTTTTCGATTTTAAGTTTACAAAGCTTTCTCTTTCCCTTTTGCCATTTAGCCTTCCCTCTCAGCCCCTTTTAGTCGATAGGCTTTGCTTCATTTCGCCTGTTCCGCTTCTTTTTTAGCCGTGATGACTCTCCCCTTCTTAGACCAGTTTTTAGCATTTTGCTTCTTCCCTTTTTAGCCGAAAGGCACCTTTTCCTCTTTTAGCCTTTTGGCTTTTCTTTGAGGCACCTTTGCGCAGTTAACGTACTCTGCCTTGTTTTAGCCTGTTGGCTTTTGCCCGCTTTGGTAGTTAGCACCTGTCTCCTCCTGCCTAATCCAGAATGAGATAACGGAGTGTCTAGAAGCGTGGATTCAAATCCACTTACTGGTAGCAATCGTTACAAAACACAGCAGTTGCTTTCAGTAGCAGGCACAGTTATAAGAATTTGTTGCATCCATATCACTAATGCCTTTTCCATATTTTCCATTGCATCATCTCTTACATATGAAATTTTGCTCTTATTGCTGCAAGTTCCACCTGCTATACTTTTTCTAATAGTCTTTATTTTTTTCCAATTGTCCTTATTGTGGCTTCATTTATGGACTAAAATTTAGCAACATCTGTTTCTCTTTCTCTATTATGTAGACAATCTAATATTTTAATTTTTATTTCTAAAGAAATAACTTTTCTTATTATTTGATTTTTTTTCAAATCTTTTGGCATTATAAAAACCTTTAAAAATTTATGTAAATTATAAAAATGTCACAAAAGATATAAATGTTGAAAACTTAACAATAAACATTCAAATATGTAAATAAACATGATGTAAGCTTTGCTGCTAGAATACTGATACTGCACATGAACCAAATAGCTTTACTGTTGTGAAATACATGTACATACTATGGGGATTTACCTTTTACAACACGAGGAATCTCTATCCTTGTTGTTGCCACCAGTTTTACCAAAGGAATGAGTTTCAAAAATGACTTCAAATATGCGTATTTGCGTATATGCAGCTGAATACATATTTTTACCAAGTTTTTGAAATTTGTTAGTTTTTAAACCGTGTAAAATCGAAATCATGTAAATTGAGGGATAGGTGAATTAATTTTGTGTCTAAATATGTTAAACCCTAGCCACCTAACTGCTTAACCAATCAAAATGAAATTTCAGGTTTTGTTATTTGAAGATACCCTCATGATTGATGATTTAAAACGAAAGAACTCTTACAGTAGTGAAAATTTTTAAATTTTTAAACGGCAACACCCTCTTTTGTCCTATGCTTTGCTCTTTTATCCTGCCCTCTTTTTTCCTGAAAAACTATAAATGGCATTTGAATGATACCTGCATGATGAAAATTGCTGGCAGTTGCAAAGAAGAGCATTTTAAAAGGCAAATGATAACACAGAATGGAGGTGCATTAATGTACTTTGCATAATTCACAGGGATATAGACAATAGAAACACAAATCACAGAATACTATTTGCAATGCGCTGCTTGTGGAAAACTTTTAGCAAGCAGTGTGAAAAGATTGTTTCTTCAATCAAGTGTTCAAACGTGCTAACAAGTCAACACTTACAGAGAAACTACGCAGTGAATTGATAAAGCTGTTTTATCTGAATGGGGGAAATGCTGTTAAAGCAATGCAAGTTTATTAGCAAAATCATACACAAAGATGAGGCCTATATTCCATAAAAACTGTATGTGATTTTGGTTAAAAAAATGTGAAGAAACTGGATGCTTGTGTGATAGACTGCAATTTTGACTGCCATGTGCTCCAGTTGAAAAGTTGCGGAAATACATTACAGTCAAGCGTCTTTAATCCGGACTCATCGGGACTTCGGCGATTCTGTATTATCAGTTTTTCCGTATTATAGATCATAAGTTTAAATATGGTAAGATTGCATGCAGAAATTATAAAATTAAAACTGTGAAACCATAATTTGTGAAATAAAGAGCAATTATGATTTAATGGGTATCAAAATTTACAAACAAAAAAAAAAAAAAAAAAAACTTAATATTGTATTTGATGGCATATAAGACACACTTTTTTTCATAAATTTGGTCTCAAAAAAGTTACCTGCGTCTTACACGTGAAGGACACAGGTTAACTTTCAATATTGAATGCTATTTTTAGCCCGGATAAAGATCTAGACACACATAACTTTTTCTACATCTACATGTGTGTGGCCTTCTAAATGAGGGTGCGTCTTAATGCCGGTGCATCTTATATGCCGTCAAATACGGTATTTATTTGTTTACTTTATTAAACATTTCTTTGACGCGCGCATGTGTGAAGCATACATTACGCATAGTCGAAATTAGAAAATTGCAACCAGAAAACTATTTGATGTGCATTCGTTATATTTATAATGAAGAGGAATTTGATTTAAATCATATCAAAGACGGAGTACATCGAGATGAAATATTACATTTAGTAAGGAATTATAAGCCGAATAAAATAAAAACATTTGCCCTGAAGATAAGGATAGTGCTGACAGATCAACTTCCAGTTCATTGCTTGCCGTGACGTCCCCCCCCCCCCCCCCAGAGCATCGTGAAATTAATAAACAGATTTCGGAATGGTTAGAGAAACAAAGGATATGCCTTTATTCATTTTTTGCAGCAATTCCACTTTTTGTTTGGTGGACATCAAAACATGCTTTCACTTTGTAGATCCTTTGGCAGCTCCAGAATCGGAAATTCTTTTTGACATAATCGAAAATTCAAGCTTACTTTTGTAAAATTGCTCTAAAAGTCTGCAAAAAATAATAAGCCAGATTCAATTAGAAGATTAAGGAACAACGTAATCTGCAACATTAACTGAAATAGATAATTAGATAATTTTAGCTTAGCTTATACCGTCTGTTATACATTAAACGTGCATGTGTAAACGTATTACGTGCATGCGTAAAGGTATGTGCAAGCGCAGTTTTAGTTTGTAGCTTTGAGGTCCAGATTAAAGACTTTTGACTGTATAAGATTACTACAGATCCATTGCATACTGCAAGAAGTGTTAACCACAGTTTGTATGTATGAAAACTACAGTCCTCAAGCTTTTGCATTCTGTTTTCTAATTGGATTCCAGCATGTATGCAACCATGTTGCAACCTGGAGATGTGTAACAGAATATCCACTTTGTGAATTTTTTCCTCATCAGATATGAAGATAAAAGGTGCCACTGCGAATATTATGGAGAAATGAGGCACATTTCTCTTTAACTGGAAATGTAAACTTGAAGAACTGCATTCACTGGGCTGATAAAAATCCTCATGATGTGGCACCAGCATCTTCATGTGAAGCTAAAGTGACTGTATTATGTGGCATAGAAAGCACACTTGTTCTTGTACCATCCTCATCGAAGACATCACTTCTACTGGTATGAAAATGTGGTCCATCACATGTACTCAGTATACAACAATGTTGAAGAATTACATAATTTCAGAATTGCAGCATCGAAATATCATTAATCACATTGTATGGATGCAAGATGGTGCTCCTCCACACGTCGCCACATGTGTTTGGCAAGTGATGTAACACATGCAGTTTTGGGGTTATTTGAAATTTAAGATACACACATTCAATTCATGGTACAGTACAAAGTCTGTAATCCGGACGTCCGTTATCCGGAATGATCTATAATCCAGACCTCAAAGCCGCAAACTTACGCATGCGCGTAAAGCCAGTAAAGCGTTTACAGATGCGCGCTTCTGATGGTGAAGAACGGGACAGAGAGGTTATTGGAAAACAAAAAAATTGCGATTGACCAGTTATTCGGTATTCTCGACACAGGATTTACAGAATTTGAATAGTGGAACTTTGTAACCGAACAAGAAATTATGTCTGTTTATAGTAGAGAGAATTAAAGAGAAAGTATTAGCGCAAAAAACGAAGCAACTTAAACAACTTAAATTGAAAGAAATATTTAATAAAGTAAACAAATAAATATTAAGCTTTTTTTTTGTAAATTTTGATACCCTTTAGATCATAATTGCTCTTTATTTCATAAATTATGGTTTCATATTTTTAATTGTATAATTTCTGCATGCCATCTTACCAGATTTAAATTGATGATTTATAATCCGGAATCGCTGAAGTCCCGACGAATCCGGATTATGGACTTTGTACTGTATTTGTCAAAATTGAAAGATACCATAAAATGGGAAGTTATACAGATACCTCCTGTGATGTTATGTTTTTGTCAACAACCTTCCACATTCAGTGCATTATCGTCTGCGAAGATGGACTGATCAGATTGCTCAAGGAAAAAGTGGGTGTTGCCATTCGAAAATTTCTTCATCGTAACTGTAACTGTGAGATATCTGTTTTAAATTATCTAAATCTTGTGTGCATACCTTGAAGTAATAATATCTGAAATTTCATTTCAGTTGGTTCAGTGGATAAGCCACTAGGGGTTGATATTTTTCATGGCCTTCTTGTAAACTGAAATACAAATTTTTTAAAAGTTTAATAGCATATGGATCACATAAGTTATTTGGTATGTGACAGGGGTGGCCAAAGTGCAGCTCGCAGGCAATTTGTGCGGCTCATGCATATAAAATATATGTATGAAATATGGTAAACTAAAACTATTCAGTGTCCAAAAGGAAGTAATTAATTAGTTTAGACTCTTTTTACAAAGTTATCAGGGATTCCTTTCTCCACTACTTGTATAATGATGTAAATATGAACTTGTGGTTTTAGAAAATCTAGATGCAGCTCTCGAACATTCCTGAATTCAAACGTGCGGCTCTTACTGACATGAAGTTTGGCCAATCCTGGTATATAACATATATATAAATACAGATTTTTTTAAAGTTTATTGATGTGTAGTATTCTTCTTCATATAAAAGTAATTATTTTTAAAGGAAAAATATTTCTGTGTTAATTATTTAGTTTTAACTTATCTTTGTATTCTATATTATTCATTTATTTTTTTCAGGTTTGCTTTTTTTGTGTAATGCCTTTTGTCATTAAATATTAAATTATCTGTTTGTAATTTGGGATATTTTTTATTTGCAGACTGATGGCATTGCACTCATCCAATATGTAGATTATGGGAATAAGGCAATCATGAAATGTCAGAGCTTACGTCCTTTGAAACCTGAATTTGCCAAACACCCATCTTTTGCTATCAAATGTTCATTAGCAGGAGTTACCCCTCCTAATACTAAAGACATACAGTCAGCTGGCTCTTGGAATGAGGCTGCTGTGAGTGAATTTAAAAAATTAACAAGTTATGAAAGATGTCTTACAGCCCAGATCTGTGAGGAAGTCTTCAATTTAGAAAGGTTAATGTGGTTTTTTGATGAAAATTTTGCTAGTTTGAGTATTAATATTTAGATTCTGAATTTCATACCCAAAAACTTTAATCGCCCATTAATATATGATTAAATGTATATCTTTTGGTGAAGGGGGTTCTTGTTCTGATTAACTGATTCTCTGTATTAAGATGTAGATTTTAAAATATAGCAGTAATTTGGATTCTTGATTTAACTAGATTCTTGCAATATGTGAATGATATTATGTATAATAAAATACTAAAATTCAAAATAATTTAATGTTACACATCATTGAAAGATTAAACTTGCATAATTAAAATATAATTGCCTAAAAATAAAAAGTGCAATGTCCAAATACTGCAGAATAGTCCTGAATGAATTCCTAAAACCCAAAGTAAGCTTCAAATAAAGCTTTTTTAGTGGAAGTAAAAACTTTGTACTTTTTTACTACAAAACTGGAAGACTTCCAAATTTATCATGTTTCTTAGTAAATCTCAAAATCTCTGAATTTAATTTGCCTGACCACCTTTTAATGTTATGATCACCGTTTTCAAATAGACGTGTTCGTTTTTAACCATGCGGGATATATTTCACCTCACCTTTGAAAATGGAGTGCTCCATTTCTATTATTATAATAATGAACTGTGATTCATTATTTCTTCACTTCTTCAGCAGTTGTAAGTCATGACCCTTAATTTAGATCAGGTTTCAAACTTCTAGTTTACTTTAATTTGTAATTACTTTAAATATTACTTTTAAGACTTATTTATTCCTTGCACATCCTCATGTAAGTTCAGATTTCCTGAATGCATATACAGACTTTTTTTTAATTGGGTTTTCTTATTTTCAATTTTTGCTTTCAGAAATGAAATTTTTTAGTACAAAATGAAATTCATGAAAAAGATCACACTTTTTCATTGTATCAAAAATGTTCCAATATATCACAAAACAGTAATATTTGATAACATGCTTTATTATATGAATGAATTTTTACAATGTATTAATTGAATTTATTTTTTTTTCAAATTAATCACAATAATTTTTTGTATTATTAAATTTGACAGAATTTTATATTAATTTTAGTTAATTTTAATGAAAATGCTATAAGATTACTTTAAAAGATTTGTGAATAATAAATCATTTATGTATAGAAAAAAGTAAAATATCTAATAATAATTATAAGATAATCTAGTAAAAATTGTGTTTTAATGCAAAAATAATAATAAAATTTCATTCTTGTATTTTTAAACTAAATATGATAAATATAATTTGAACAGTTTCATATTATTTGTAAATAATTATTTGAGAATATGGACTATTATTTTATTTATACAAATGGCCGACATTTGGCCATTAGTCTTGATCTTGCTTCCCAATACTTAACAATAGAATTAAAAGATAATAGTGCAGTGCATTTGTCAATATGCTCTTTATCCATGGACTGTCCAGAGTTACAAAGAATACAGACAGAAGAGTCCTTAAGGGGAATTTTAAAAAGATGGGCATTCAGAGAATCGTGTCCAATCAAAAGATGAAATAACACCATGGCCACATGACTAGGAAAATCTAGAATAACTGGTTTTGAACTAGTGAGGCACTTCCAGGCCTTTCCCTTAGCTTCATTCGATAGGTAGCAGGGAAACCTCCTCTTAAATTCTAATTTAATTAGGAGTTTTGCAAAACTGAAAGTCATATAATTATTAGTGGTTTGTATAATAGTCATTCCTTTCTTTGTCTGGAAATCGGCTCTTTCATTTCCCTTAATGCTATGATGAGCAGAAATCCATGGCAAGACAGTTGAGTCAGCCAGAGTGTTTAGAATCTTCCTTCATTCGCAAATTCGTTTGTGAGTGCATAATTTATGGTTGGAGATATCCTGCAAAAAGTGGCTTTGCTGTCTGACAAAATAACAGCCCGATGGAAATTATTCTGTCGAATGTTTAACTCTTTGAAGACCATATCGGCCCAGACGGTCTTTCATTGAAATGACCATAATCACCCCAAAATGGCCGAAATTCTAATGTTGTTTTCTTCCCTCCCCTAAGATATGCAGTAGCAGCTGCAGTTTTTCCAAATGCATTGTATCAGTGTCTTGCAGACAGCTTGCCCTAAAAGGATTTATTTGTGCTTTCTTATCTTTATTTTTTAGAAGTAGAAAGGATGTCATCATCATTAATGGATGGAGAGATTTTACGAATGTTATGCGTGACAAGAAAAATATTAGTTAAAGCTTCCATAGCTGCTATATGGGTGGATTTAACTGCACCTGTTATTAGGTGAAGAGATTGGTTTTGTTATCTTGCCAAAATGTCGACTGTGCTCATGGAAGCAGTTACTAAAACTTCATTACAGTAATAAAATAATGGTGAATGTACATTTTGTATGCATTTATTAAAGTTTCTCTGTTACGCCCCCATGGATTTCAAAATTGGAAGTCACCTTTCAGTTTTTCCCTTTATATAAGAAATATGTTCATTCCGATTCAGATGTGAATCAAGTTTACATCCAAAATAGGTAATGTTATTACTAATAGAGGTTACTTCTCCATTATAAAGAAGGTGGGGGTAAAACGTGCTGTGTATTCAAGGTAAAAAACTGGTAATTAGTTTTATCTAAGTTTAAAATCGTGTTATTCCTGCACTAAAGATCCAGTCTTCCAAAGGCATCATTGAGATTAACATTCAGGCTTTGCTGTCGATTCTTTGTAGCACAGCTGCAGAAGACTGGATTGTCAGCGAACAGTGTAGTCTTAACTGCAGGGTCAGACATCATAATATCAGGCAAATTATGTAATTTTTAAATTATATAATTTTTAAATAATAAAGGGCTCATGACAGTACCCTGAGGGAGACTAGTTTATTGTCTGTCTAAAAAGGGATATGCTCTGGCCATAATAAACTTTAATAAATTTTTGGTTGTTAAAATTTTTGATCCAGGTCAACATTTTGCCCTCTATGCCAAAGGAATGTAGTTTTTCAATCAGCTTTAAGCAACAGACTCTGTCATAGGCAGATTTAAAGTCTACAAAACTGTCTGGGTGGACTTAAGTTTATGTAGGGAGTTCTTTACATCTTGGCTAAAATAGATAACTTGCTGAGCTGTACAGTTATACAGGTAATAAATTATTATACTCCAAAAACTAACACGGTCTTCATGTAATCATGCACTCCATGATATTAGCTAAGATACAGGTCAAGTAGTAGGTCTGTAACTGTTAATTTGATCACTAGGTTTATTCTTCTTTAATATAGGAATAACAGTAGCTTTCAGCCAATTAGAGGGAGCTGGCAGAAGGTTCCAAATGGCCAAATAAACACTAGGTTTCATATTCTTGAAAAGGTCAGCATGGATGCTATCCGTTTCTGGGCTTTTGCCCTACTTTAACAGACAAATAGCCTCACTGAGTTCCGCCATGGTAAAATTGGAGTAAAAGACCAAATGTGTTGGATTCTTTTTTTGTATGAGAGACTTTACACTTCGTCTAATATGCATTGGTTCTTTTTTAAATCAGTTTCCAATCTTTGAAATTATGAAGGAATTAACAATATCTTTGTGATTAAAGACACTCGTATTAACCACTTGCACTACGACTAAACTTCACGGTTGCGGTGCCGTGCCCTACAATATAACAAGTGGTAAAGTGTCTCATTTACGCCGCTCCGTGTCTGTGAGTGCAGTCCAGAGCTGTAACTCGAGAAATAAACAATCTCGTTGTTAGGCGACGTGTGCACCACATTATTTTCATTTTTGCGCACGGTTTGAGATAAAAGCATCTCGCCATGCGTGACACGTCTTTTTAGCGCAAGTGGTTAAAGATCATCATGGGCTGCTTTACCACTTTAGGGGCAGAGTTTTTTTAATTTGTTTAAAAAAGAATGTACTTTCTTTCCATCTTTTCTAAAATCAATACTTTTAATAAAATTATTAAAGTAGTTACACTTTGCCACATTAATTTTTCATATTGTTATGCTTTTTTTTTTTTTTCCAATCTCGAATATGGGTGATGTCTAGTTTCTCCACCAGGCGATGAGCCTTTATAAATTTTTTTTTTTTAAGATTTCCCAGCTCACTGGTCCAAAAGGACTTTAAATCTTTTTATTTTTCCTCTTAGGAACCACTTTTTTGCTGATTCCATAATAGTAGAACAAAAACAAGATGGCAGCTGCAAATATTTTGTTAGAATATGGAATATTAAAAAAATTGATTTCATGTAGATATCCTCTACAAAAGATACTTAAAGCAATAAAGAATATGTTGGTGATGAAGTCAAGTACATCTCATGTGTGTCTTGTTTATGAGAATGGAGCAGACAATCCTGTGGAATTAATTATCAAAAGGAAATGATATAAAAATTTTTCATCCCAAATTCTTAAAAATAGTTGTCGTAATGGTATTGTCATCATTTAACAAAATTTAAATTCTGAAAATATGAAACTTTCAAAATGATTTTCAGAATCATTTTTCTGATTAACTTCCATTCCATCTAAATTGTTTTTTATTCATTATTAAGATTTGTAGTGGCTTTACTTCTTACTTGAGGTTTCATCACTACAAGTGAAATTAATCAAAAAATAATCCCATATTTAATTTATTGTTTTAAATATTAATTTAATAAATATAATAAAAATTGTGTTATAATTTTTAATCCATTTGAACTATGCATTATAGAGTGGTTTGTAAAAAATGTTAAATTAACTGTTATAAACATTATAAAACTAATGTAAAATTTTTACTCTTTAACAGTTACCTTTTTCTTTCAGAATTGTGTTTGTCGGTTTTAGAGTCCTCTTTTTAAAATGCTGCACTAAGCAGTGCAAAATCTTTCTGATTTTTCTTGTTTCAAGTTTGATGGCTGTGGCTTTAATCAGTAAAATATTAAATGTCGAAAAATTTGAGAGCAAGAATTAAAGTCTGAAAACTTTGTGAAGGAGTAATGGTGTAAATTATAATAAATTTAATTTTATGTAAAATCAAAATTCCATATGTAAGAGGTAGTTATGAATCTGTTAACATCATCATAAATGAATATAATTCTGCACTAGTGCAGCTATAGCGTGGTTGGTCCTATTATATTTGTTCCATCCGACCCTTCACGTTTTTCTTGATTTACAATTGATGAGCTGTAGCCTGAAGTTTCTATTTGGCTATTCAAGAAATGTTGCAACAAAAATCAACATTTCTTGAATAGCTAAATCTTCTGGAAATGGGAAGAGAAGTCATTTGGGGAAAGATGAAGTGACTCAAATAGATGGCTCACCCTTACCGGATTTATATATTAGTAAAATGGATTATAAAACATGATTTTAAGGCTATTGAAAATTTCATTTATCAAATCCTATGTGTTTTATGCAGTAGTTTTGGAAGAGGAGATGGTACTATTTTGGCCATTTGGCATGGTATGCTTAATCCGTTTTTGACAGTATTTCATCAATATATTTGTATGATTAGCTGATTAACATATGTACTGAATTAGATTCTAATATTAAATTTAAAAAATAAATAAATAAAAAGTGAAAAATAATCCTGTTCTATTGGTATAGTTTAATAGGGCAATTACTGACTGTCATCTTTTGGAAGTTATAGTAAATTTTGCAAAGCTTAACTTTAATAGTAATTAATTCTTTTATAATTATTTTTTACCCTTTTTCTTTTTTTACTCTCCCCCCCCCAATATTCTTTAGTGAACCTCTTCAAGTACTGCTGTGGGATACAGAAGGAACTGAAGATGTGCTCATCAACAGTGCTTTAGCTGTAAGTGGTGTAGCTGAATTTGATAGCAGTATATTGACCAGAATTTTTCCTGAAGTAAAATCTAAAGAAGGTAAGAAGTCCTTTTAATAAATCATACAAGAGTTTGGGAGTAAAGTGTTTACATATGGATATATTTATCTGATGTCTTATATAGTACAAAGTCCGTAATCCAGACTTGTCGGGACTTAGGCGATTCCAGATTAGGGGTTTTTCTGCATTATAGATCATCAATTTAAATCTGGTAAGATGACATGCAGAAAATATACAATTAAAAATATGAAACCGTAATTTATGAAATAAAGAGCAATTATGATCTAAAGGGTATCAAAATTTACAAAAAAAAGCTTAATATTTATTTGTTTACTTTATCAAACATTTCTTTCAATGTAAGTTGTTTAAGTTGCTTCATTTTTTTGTGCTAAAACTTTCTCTTTAATTCCATAAACAGACATAATTTGTTGTTCAGTTACAAAGTTCCACCTATCGAAAGCGGTATTTTCTGGATCTAGAACCATACTACAGATTTCGCCGATTAATGATTGGGGCATTCTCGTCACATTGAAAAACTTCTTTTATATCATCTTTATTTATTACCGCTTCTCCACATTTCTTTACAAAATCCAATAACTGGAAAATTTCACCTTTAGTTTGCGATGTTCGAAAACCTTCAAATTCGCGGCTACCGTCTTCATCATCGTCACAATGAAATATGGCAGCTGGCCATAAATTATGCCAAGCATTTTTTAACGTATCTGGAGACACATCCTCCCAGTGCACATGCGGATGCTTAAACACGCATTAACGCACATATGGAAAGCATACCAAAAAAAAAAAGTTTGTAGTGTTTGACAAATTGTAAGACAGTTCATAGCAACACTTAGAGTATGTGGTCTGGCATTATTTTGCTGAAAAATAGGCCAGGGTATTGCAAAAGGAACAGTAGCAAAACGTGTCTCGAATGTCGTCGACATACCGCTCTGCTGTAAGTGTGCCTCTATGACGACCAACGAGTCTGACTAAGGAAAATGGCACCCCAGACCATAACTCCCGGTTGAGGGCCTGTGTGGCATGCAATAGTGAAAGCAGGATTGGCATGCTGCTCTGGACATCTCCAGACATGTCTTCGATGATCGTCACAACGCAGTTGGAAGCCAGATTCTTTGCCAAAAACTATGTATAACCAGTCAGCATCATTTCAACCTGATGAAGACAAGTACCATTGTAATCTGGCTTGGCAGTGTGTAGGTGTAAAGTGGCAGGTGGCACAGTAGTTGGTACGAGCATAGATTTCACTCTATCAGCCATCTGTGAATGGTCATGGCAGATGTTCGTTGCACATCTGATGGTTGATAGCGATGAATCAAGTGCTGTGACAGCTGATCTGACAATTACTCTGTCCCCCTAATGTGTTGTGGCGTAGGTCAACCGCTACCAGCATAACGCTGAAATGTGGCATTGTCCACCCATTTTTCCCAGCATCCTCTAATTGCCGCATCACTTCGACTAAGACAAGTGATTCTCCGATTTGCCCAACTTGCCTTTTTCAATCCAATAATATGACCTCTTTCAAAACCTCAAGGTTGCTCGTAATGAGCTCAAATCCTGCAGCGAGGCATTTTTTCAGTCATTGAAAGGTATCCTAAATCGCAATGCAAAAGAAATTTTTAACAACAATTCCAGAATAGCACTTTATATATATCTCCTGGATGTGCTGGAGATTGCACTATTCATTCATTAGACACCAAATTTTAATTATTTGCATATTTGGTCAAAACATTTATGCATACGAAATTTCAAAGCAGTTAGATGATTCCTTCTTGGTGCATCGATTTTATACAAATTAAAGTTTAAAGTAAACTGTGACTAGCAACAAAATAGAAAGCCATTTCTTCTCACCCCATTTTTCAGACATTAAAATCATCAATTTCACCTGGTAATGCAAAAGTGTACATATTGCAAATGACAAATATTGCAGATTCAAAACCTAGCTGAATCAGAATATCGGGACTCTTTTGCAATCTATTGTGGAGCATATTTGAATTTAAAGAGTATTAGTTACATATGCTTTGATAAATCATTAATTCATTTGTTAAAATTTACCATATCTTCAGAGACTTTTTTAACTATTATAACAACATGTATAAATTTTGTGTTTCTATTGCTTGTATATTTAAGATCTGATTTTTTTTTTAATGTTTGTATAATCTGTGTGAGCTGTTTACAGATATTTTACTTTTTTAAATTAATATAAATTCTTTTTAATAACAGATGGTGAATGTGTTCTTTTTTTTTTTTTTTTTTTTTTTTTTTTTTTGAATTGTTGTGTGAAGGTTAAAAATCCATTCTTTCAGAGGTGATTATACCAATATAAAAAATGATGTGTATATCTAGAAAAATGCTATGTATATCTTTTGAAATATAAATAATTCTTCAATTCAGAAGCTATAAATCTTTATTTGAAATTAGAATAGACATGTTATCTTTGACTAATGAGTCACTAAAATTGTTTACATTTAGGGGCACCAGTAATCTTAAATTATGTCAAGCATTAAGATTGAAATGAGTGCAAAGTAGATAAATAAGGTGGGACAATGATATTTCTTCAAATTTTTAAAAGTGACAGTTAAATTATGGTTTTATTCAATAAGATATATAATGTGTGTACAAATTAAAGGTCAATTTGTTGAAGATTTTGTTCAGTAATCACAAAAAACAATGCTGTTGAAGTAAATCAATTAATGCAACAAATTCTATTTAGAAAGAAACACATGCAGATAAAGTATGAGGCGTAATCTCTTAAAATGGAGAGGAGTGAAATGTTGATAGAGCAAGATTTGTTATTTGGTTGAAATGAAATGTATTATATATACATATTTATATATCACATTATAAATTTTCTATTTATGATTATCTCCTAGAAAAGGAAATGTAAAACAGTTGCAAATTGAAATTAGGTATTGTTCAGATGATTGATTATATTATTAACTTCAGAGAGAAAGAAAGAGAAAAGAAATTAAAAATTTATAATGGTATGCATTAAGATCATACATTTTAAAAGAGAAAAGAAATTACATAAGAATAAGGTAAAACAGTACATACATATAAAAGAAAATAAATTATAACTGATTGCTTGGAAGAGGTTGACTTTTCAAGAGGAATTAATTTTTCTCCCGAAAATGCACAATAATTTGGATATGATATGATTTCATGTCCTTTGTATGTTTAAGTTAATTCTTTAAATCATTTTCCCCCCACAATGGCGGGCACTTACCTATAATGGCATTGGCCACTACCAAGCCCAGAAGTGGTATCCATTTTATTATGAAGGCACCTAATAGACGGCCACCGCTATTTTCTATGAAGGGACAGACAATTTTACATCCATGCCTTCTCTGGAGTTCGAACCCGGGCCCTTTGGTATCGCAGTCTAACTACTATATTATTTGGGAGACTCTTTTAATTATGGAAAGTAAATACTTAAAATTTGTATTTAAATTAATAATTAAGAGTTTTTGATATTTGTAAATTTGAAATGGTGCTGAAATCCCTAAATGGGATCGTAAGGTAGACGCAGAGCTTAAAACTAAACATCAATGCTATTGTCTGTGTCTTTTCAACAAATAGAAGTATAGAGATCTGAGGAGTCCAAAATTATGCATTGAAGGCAAATGCATAATGAAGAGAAACCAAAATACTTGTGAATCCCCTTAGATACAAAATTGATCAGTGAAAATAAAATTAAGTCAGGGCGACCAGAATTTTTGACTTTTGCTTTAGTTCCAAATTTACGTAACTAGAAATCATCAAACTTTAAAGTTTACTTATCTTTAGTGTATCTATGGACTGTCTGCCATCATCACTTTTTGTTTTGGTGATTGAGGATTTTTGGCTCCTTAATTGGACTGCCAATTTATGACAGGAATGTACATTTCCTTACCCCCCCCCAAAAAAAAGGTTTCAGATTTTAAATTACTTCCAAAAGGGGCATTTTTTTAACATTTTGTGTGTTACCTTTATTTATTAAATATCATGTTCTTCGCACTTAAACCATGAAATTCAGTTCAACAGCAATATTGCAAAATAATTTAAAAAGAGCATAGCTTAAGAATTTCTAACACAAAGTCTTGTGCGCTGGAGATAAAAATGTTTTTTCTTTACAGTGTTGCCATTTCATTTTTAAATCCTCGAGTTTGTTAATCAAAAATTCATTAAAGTTTTACAAAATATGAAATCGATTATAAAACAAATTTTAAATTTGGTCTTCCAGATGCCCATATTTGCAGTAGCATTACGTCATTCAAAATTTGATGGTTCTAGATACCATTGTTTTATCACAATGCGAGAAATGTACATACATTTATGCAGATTTTTCATTATTTAATTTCTTAAAATATAATACAAGGCGACATTATTTGGTGGCAACAGTTTGAAAAGTGAAACATACATTCAGAGTGATTTGACACAAAATTGCAAAGCAAAAGCTATAGTCCTTCAGGGACAAATCCCCTTTGGACTAATAAACACTTGACAAAATGAGTAAAAATTATTAAAATATTTATTAAATTTATCTTATTAAAACATTTTCTTTTAAACATAATGTAAAAAGAATCACAAGTATAATATACAGCTCAGTGAGGATTACATAATGTTAAACCATGGTGCCATTGAAGATAATTATGTAGTCATTTTTTCAGCTGTTCGCCAGTGGCTGCACAATGCAGATTCAAACATTAGGTGGGAGGCAAACAAAGTCCCTCTGAGGAGTTCAAAATGAGGGAAGAAAAGTTGATGCAGTTTTTTATTTCTCACATATATTAATATCAGTGTAACCAAAGCAGTCTTGTACTGGACTGGCATTAAAAAAATCTACACATGCTACTGGTTATATTCCTCAGGCTTTTCGGTTTTCAGGCTAAATTGAATTTAAGAGTGCATTTAAAGGCTTCAGCTATCACATCATTGTCAAAGAATTTTAATTTCATGAAGTGGTTTTCCAGTCTGATTGAACACGTGCAAGTTACTAGGTGTGTGTTTGTCCAATAATTGTATTATATATCTATCTTTATATGC